CAATGATTGTGCCCTTACGGGTTGCAATGGTGAAGCCAACTTTTGGCGGGTCAGCCAAATTATTATAGGTTGCCGACCACCAGTCTACGCTCTCCAGAAGTTCGTGTTATATATGCAAATGTTTATCGCTTCGCAAGTCATGATTTTTGGTTAGTTAAAATGTCTAAGGTTCTACTGTCATGTTATTTGTTTGTTTCATAATTTTTCGCACAAAGCTATAAAAAGGATTATCTGTGCATAGCCATTCCTAATTTTGAACGGATAAATGGTATCCAGCTAGTTAACACTAACAGCATCCATCGCCAAGTCTTGAAGCTACACTTACCTGACCAAACAGTGGGATTTGACCGTCGCTCTTGTTCTTGTAGAACACCAAAGGAGGAAACGTGTTTTTGAGACAACGGAACGTAAACTACAAATACTCAGACTTACAATCTGAGCACGCTAACCTCGATTAATCCCGGCCCACTGTCGTGGTAATTAGCAAATACGGTTGAAATTCAAATTTAGTCTTTAGGTAAACGTGATTCAGATATTTCTGTACGTTAAGAAGAACGACTCTTCCCCTTTAAGATTAAGGCAAGTAGTTTTTCATTCACCACCTAGCGGAAGAGTAAAATCGCAAAAACGTCACGCGTAACATTTCAAGTTATCTAAAACCTTCAATGATTTATACACACAAACATACAAAGGGTGCCCTGTTGTGAATTATCACGTGATGATTTTCACATTGTAAACTGTTTTTTTATTGAAAAAAATGTGTACATTTATTGCATTCAAGAAATTTCACACATAATGCGAAGTTTCGATTATCATATTTTAGTCTTCATCAGGCGTAGACTAACATTTAAACTCTTTCACTACCATGCGAGTTTGGAATTGTTTATCTATAAACATGGCAATGAAAAGGTTAAATTACGTTAATTTGAGGTTATACGCGTTGTCTTTTAAACGCATGAAATGAAAACAACAAAATAAATTAGTGAAAAACTTTAAACGTTACTCGTATGTTTCGGACGACTGTGCTCTTTCATGAGAGCGCGAATGAAAACTACTTACCTTAAGGGCTGTACAGACCCGCCATGTCGTTATTGTTGTTCTCGAGTTTAGAACACAACTTCGAATAGTCTATTTAAAAACGATAGCTTACGCCTGACAATGAGGGAAACAAACATGTCAACTCTCATCCATTTTATGTCCATCTCGCGGGCTCAGTTGAATATGCCCTAAAATCACGAAAAATTAACTAATTCAGCAATTGGTGGGGTCACCTGCTTACAGGGTTATACTATTTTTTACCAAGCACGAAAGCAGTCTCGGTTATGCGTGTATGACGCATGTGGTGGTATAAATTTTAATGAATTTTATAAATTCTACTGTATTTATATTTAGAATTGGTTCAACGAGTAAGCTGGTGTATCTATATGCTCCTATATCTATAAAAATGCCCTATTTGCATTCCATCTCTAAATGCTTTTCAAGGAATTACGTCATAATAATCAACATTATCTTGCAAGGAAAGTTATTCATCTGTTCTAGAAATTCTTAAAAATCAAGAAGCACCAGTTTTGGAAGGGTTAGCACTCATTTCAATGCTCAATGATTCACATCTCTGAGTCATAGGTATTACGTTGTACGTTACTGTGCAATGTAAATTCTGTGGGTTATAACTGATGGTTACATGTTCCAAGTATGGTTGATAAGCAGTATTTTTGGATAAATAGCCAATTTTTCAGTGCTTACTGCCACCCTTCAAAAATTAAATAAAATTAATTTTTGAAGGGTGGCAGTAAGCACTGAAAAATTTATAATGCATCTCGTAGAAAATTCCAGAAAACATTACTGTGAGATTAAATGTCAGGGGAGAATGGAAATGTTCTAATGAAAAATGTCAGGGAAGATTTAATAGCTTCTTACAGTTCTACAATCTCAAAATACTGTTTAGAGCTGATGATTTGACTATTGTTCTGTCGTTGAAACACTGTCAGACGTGATGATTTAGGCTATTAACTAACTATGTCACTGCGCTCAAAATACTGTTAACTACAGTTTCAACGCTCAAATACTGTTAGTGTTAGACGTGGTGAACTAGGCTATCAACTGCCTACCGTTCATAACATTGTTCATTTCTAAACAGTTAAAAACGTTTGAACAATATCGAAAACCTTAAACTAGTGTGTTAGGTTTTCGTTATTGTTCAAACGTAAAGTCATGCTAAAAGTTGGACTTTACGAGATCGTTACTTCCTTGTAAACGAGTTATACAACCGAGTGAAACTAGGCGTATTTGGACTTGTCGCTATCTTGAGACAAATAACCTGTTTCAGTTCGTGAAGAAGTGAATTTAAACAAGTTATTTTGTTAAAACTGCGGTGTTCACAACAAGCAAGTTGTTACATTTTAACTATTTTTTATCATAAATTTTAAGGTTCTAATTTTTCAAAAAATTCTGCGAGGCACGAGTTAATCGCAAGAAGAAAAAAATCCAGTAAATAAAAAGTTGTAATATTATCCTCACTGTTCGTTATACTAAGCGCCTTCACAAGCATTGAACTTAACATTTACTCTGTCCCCAACACCGATCTTACTCGTAAGACCTTTTTTTACCTTGTCCTATAGGTTATACAACAAATATATCAAAATTCACAGCTATTACTTGACTGATTTCTATTTACCGCATGTTCAAAAATATTACAGTTGGGAGCACCTGCGAAATCAGAGTATCTCCTCTTCTGGGGGTTCGAGTTAGGTACTTGAGTTACTCTCAAATTTCTTAAGGCGGCCCCGTATGCGGACAATTTACGACAACTACCTTTTGTTTTGAAATGCAAGCTTCCACTACAACTACCTGTTCAACTACTCCCTAAGCAACAAGGTTCGTTTCTTCGCGGTGAGGCATATATAGTTCAAGGCTTATTTCAAACGTTTCCTAAGCACGTGCTCTCGTGGCCACATATAATTCCTATTTCAAGTAATTCTTTTTATGGCACTCACCTGGAGAACGATTTTACGTTTTTCTTTTGTGGGGCAGGGGAAGGTAGCCTGTTTCGAAGTCAGCCAACCATTTCAAATCGGCTTCAACAAACCAGTTTTTACGGGCAGCAGTGTGTAATCGTTCATTACTCTGACGTTGCGTGTACAAGTACACCATATATACACACCCGTACGTTACGTTTTATTTTTCATTGTTGTTGTTTTTACCTTAAAAGTTCGAGTCTGTTTTCTAAAGGAAATGAAATGCTTGTACATATAACGCCTTTTGGGCCACACACCGACACACTAATTTTGTAACAAAGTTTTATTTATTTTTATTCATTTCTATCCTCCGGTGGGCCAGCTTTACACGCTAAAATCCGGGGTTCAATTCCCCACGATGAGAGACTGAAGTGTAGTTTTACATTAAGAAAATAACAACAGTTACTACTTTTTGTTCATAACGAAATGCTAGCTTTTACACCCCCCCCCCCCAAAAAACTGAAAATTATTAACAGGATTCTACAACAGCAAAACTTAATTTTTTCATCACCTGATAGTTTGTGTCACTATTAATGAACAATGTTATCGAGACCAAACCAGATTATTTACTGCTGTATTCTTGTACGGATTTGAAAACATCAACTAATTTGTCTATATTTATAAAAAAAACATAGACTGATATAAAACACACGTTAATAAATCTGTTTCACTAATAAAGAGAAATAAAGGCTGATTGTCTAAGATGGATTGTCAGAAACGTGTTGTACATACATTTGAAGTGAGAATGATAGCAATTGAGTTGAGGGTCTGACTACGCGAGCGCGCGTGTTTGCATCGGGATATAGATCCTTTCTACGCATCTGGAAGGGCCAGGTTCTACTTAGACTCCTTCCCCGAACTATTGTTAATTTTAAGCTTCAGTATTGTAATTAGCGTGCTAGTAATGGTTTTCATTTGTACTTTCTGCTTTCTTTCCTTTTCAGGGCCATGTCCATGAATTTTGTCAGACAGATAGTATTAAATAGTCTGGGTATGGATGATTAGTTTGCTTTTTCTCAGCCGTGTATAGTTTTGTTGGACGGGGTTTGTGTTATTTAGTTTACGAATAGTTGTATTATGTAAGATAGTAATGGTGTGAAGTGTTGTTTGGCAATTGTAATGAATATTATGATACAGTCGTCTTGATTTTGTGGGTTTTGGTATTGTCTAATGAATTCAATGAAAGTATTTCTGTCTGACTTCAACTTTGTAATATGGTCTGGTTTGAATTTCGCGCAAAGCTACACGAGATCTATCTGCGCTAGCCGTCCCTAATTTAGCAGTGAAGTACTAGAGGGAATGCAGCTAATCATTATCACCCACCGCCAACTCTTGACCTACTCTTTCATCAACGAGTAGTGGGATTGACTGTTACATTATAACAACCCCACGTCTGAAAGGGAGAGCATGTTTGGTGAGTCACTTTCCCAAAGTACTAAACAGACCTAACATTAGGTGTCTGCGGGGATCGGATGAGACCCGGATATTTTTTCAATATCGTATGAAAGATGGCTTCGTGATATGAAACAACAACAACAAAAAGTGTTGTTAACTCCGGTTAACTGGACTCAAACATAATTATCATGTTAATTAATATCATTAACATGATGTTTACAATATTAACAATTTGTATAAAAGAAGATATGAGCACAAGGTGATGCACAGCATCTATGAAATAAATTAAATTTCATGCAACTCATGTTTTCTATTTTGTTATTATTTAGTTCTAGAATTATTTCAACTAAACTATGATCAGACAAGTACTGGGTTTCGAAGATGCGTAAAATATCACCAAACACATTCCAGAGCATCAATACGCTAGAGCTAAATCTCATTATATAAATAAAGTAACAAACACTTTTACCAAGACTTTATACATGTATCATTCTCAGTTCAACCTTGCAAGTTAAGTTAATAACAGTTGATTACAAAATCAGTATATCTATGCCTGTCGTAATTCAGCCAGTCTAATGAACTTTGGGATTGAGCGAAAGGCCTCGTCGGCACTAGATATATTAGATATAATTGTATACGAGTACTATATGGTTCAATGTACGGAAATAATACTTTACCAAAGCTTTGTTGGTTATATAGTTACAGCTAATACATTGTGAAATGTCTACACTCTAGTTAAGAATAGATTTAATGTCAAATAATAACTAAAAATAATAGTAAAATACAGTACAAAAACGACAAAACTATTCAGTATGTTCAGTACGATGATAAACATGCAAAACTGAAAAACCTAATTAAAAAACATCACCAATATAAAGATAAACACGTTCCAACGTCTTAGAACAAAATAGATACATTCTTTTCAGAGGTGAAGTTTTGTTTCTTTCCAATCTCCATACAGTGTTGTTTTCTTTAATACTAATGGTTTACTTTTTTTCCAATCTTCCCACAATGGTAATAGGTATGTTACATGCTAATGTTTTACTTGTTTCCAATTTCCACATAATTGTTACAGTTATTCTAAGAACTAGGAGTTAAAGTAAAAAATGTAACAATGACAACTACACAATATCTACTACATCCAGTGCCGAGGGTGAGGATCGGACAGGCACAACGATGGTTGAGATGCTATTTAAATCATCAATTTGCACAAACAACAACAACTGTTATGATGTGAACTACATTATGTTGAAGTGTAATTATTATCAATTTTAGATGAGGCATTTACAAATCAAAATTAGGGTAAGAATTAATAACTCAATAGTAATGTTCCACTTCTTTCTAGTCCTCATACAGGTAAGAATTAATAACTCAATAGTAATGTTCCACTTCTTTCTAGTCCTCATACAGGTAAGAATTAATAACTCAATAGTAATGTTCCACTTCTTTCTAGTCCTCATACAGGTAAGAATTAATAACTCAATAGTAATGTTCCACTTCTTTCTAGTCCTCATACAGTGATTATAGTTGTTACATGCTAATGTTTTACTTCTTTGCAATACCTATACAGTGGTAATAGTTATGTTGTATGTTTAGTTTTCCAATCCTTACACAATGTTTATGCCTTTTTGCTGCATACTCATGTTTCACTTTTTTCTAATCCCCATACAGAGACACTATTATGTTACTTGTGTAGTTTTTAATCCCCACACAGGTTATAGTTATGCTGCATACTAATGTCTTAGATTTCCAATCCCCATAAAGTGACAATAATATATTACATGTATATTTTTTCAATCCGCCACACAGTGGTTATAGTTATGTTTCATGCTAAAACATTTTACCTGTTTCCTATCTCTACGCATTGGCTATAATTTTAGCATACTAATGTCTTGTATGTTTCCAATCCTCGCATAGTGCTAATAGTTATGTTACATGCTCAAAGTTTTACTTGTTTCCATTCCACACACAATGGTTATAGGAGGTGATTAAGTATCGCTTTTTCTGTCAAAAATTCCTATGTAATCGCAGAATTATCGACGACACTTTGTATCTTTGTGAATCGTGAATAAATAGGGCGATTTTAGACATCCTTTTTTTTTTAAATCGATAGTGAAGGCTTATTACTTGTATAGTTGATCCATTGTAATATCCCGGGTCTCCTAGACTAATTTTTTGGGGTTTGATTTTAATTATTCAAAGATCTCTGGAATGTGGAAAAACATTTTGCAGCAAATGTCATCTTGCCATAAAAAAAACAAAAAACCTACAGATAGTAACAACATCTACTTATATACCTGCTTTGCACGTAAAGATAAGCATTATTTTGCGATAAATGAATATTTTTCTAGTGCAAAGTTACATATCTGAGCTCAGTTCGTCACGGGGAATCAAATCCCAGATTTTAGCGTCATAAGTTCTCAAAGTTACTCCGGGGGAATCTTCTTTACATTTAGCTTACAAGACATAAAAATAACATGAAGAAAGGTCCATTAAAACTTCGAATCACACGTGAAGCACATAGGAATAGTTTAAGTACAGTATTAGACGATGTGCCCATTAAACTAGTGTTACTGTACAAGTCCTGGTTTAGCATGGCACACTTGCACATTTTTGGGTTCGAACCCGTGTCCAACGAAGAGGAAGCGCTTTTACCAACTAAGTCTATAGTTAACCCCTAAGTTACTACCAGTTAAATTATTCAAATTACCCAACCACCACGGGTATACATAGCCTGTTTATCAAGTGTGGCATTTATTGTAACAGTGTGAAGAAACAAGTTTCCATGCCAGAAAGAGTGGTGTCTCTCGCTGTTTTAATGTTTTCATGCTACGAGTTCCAACATGTTTAATGGAGCGAAATATGAAAGAAGATATCCCCCCCCCCGATGAGTCAGAGGTAACTTTCAGAACTTACGACGCTAAAATCTGGAATTCTATTACCGTGACAGGCAGAGCTCAGATAGCCTATTATGTAACTCTGCTAAATTGCTTACTAAAACGCAGGATTATACACAAGCACACACACACACAAATATATATATATTTAAAATAAGGTAACTGTACCATCGAATCTAAAGAACTCTGCCAAAATTAAGATGTTTAAGAAGTTTTGTTTGTTTGTTTGTTTTGAATTTCGCGCAAAGCTACACGAGGGCTATATGCGCTAGCCGTCCCTAATTTAGTAGTGTAAGATTAGAGGGAAGGCAGCTAGTCATCACCACCCACCGCCAACTCTTGGGCTATTCTTTTACCAACGAATAGTGGGATTGACCGTCACATTATAACGCCCCCACGGCTGAAAGGGCGAGCATGTTCGGTGTTCAAGAAGAAGTATGGAAAGGTATTACCCCATAACACATCTCATCCACATATGCAACGCTTTTTTGTTCTTTCTTAACATGACTGACGGAAATTCTTAAAACATACAAATAATATTATACAATATTTCAATATCATAGTTTAAAGCAATGTAAATAATTAACACACTAAACCAGGCCTCAAAGCAGTGCTTCAAAATATATCAGACTTACGATACACGTAAATATAACTGAACGGAAAAGTACACTGAAACAGTTAATACTTTTAACAAGTATATGCCTTTAAGGAAACTAAAAAAAAGAAGAAGAAAAAATGGGGAAAGGGAGAACATGGGATAGATTTGGGTTCAACATTTTCACTGTCTATTGGAGAGAAAAGTTTCTTTGGGGTATGTATTTCTGAAAACAAAAAGCTTGCATTACTTGAGTACCCCAGGGGGAAAATATTGTTACTGTTGTTTTATCGCAAAGCTACACAATGGATTAACTGTGTTTTATCCACCGAAATGGGGGTAGGAAGGGGGTTTTAGTAACACTGTTTCCAAAGCTCGTGCATAACATAGTTAGGAGACAATTATCGTTTGGGGCAAAGGAACATTATGACCTAATAAAAACACGTGAAAAAATAGCCGTAATAAACATTTGAATGTAAGTGCGAAATAACTGTTTAAAACTCTTTCGAAAGTTTTTCTTTTTTTTTTTAAGACAATGCATCAATTGGTTTTGAACTCTATTTTTTGAAACAGCCACAATAGTTAAAATAACTTGAAAGTTCGTAATTTGTCTAACACGGAGTTCACTAGCACAACTCCCAATTAACTACTGTATTCAATCAGGAACTCTCATTACACGTTTGACTGGGCCATACTCAATGAATTAGATCAAATCTTGACTATTTTCAACCACATCAACAGCATATATGGCTAATTCAAACCTATAACATGATACATCTTCCCTCCAAAATGTAAGCACAATTTTCAGTGTGTGTGCATAATTCAGTGGTAGTAGTTAAAATAAATAAATATTGTACCTCTGAGAGCTGTGAGTTTGCGAAGAACTCCAGACGTAGAGAAGAAAGAAGACGTGAACTGTCTGGTTCTTTGGCTTGTAGACGGCTGGCTGAATATTCTGGACCTCACACCACTTGGCAGTGTGCTTGATTTGGCAGGAGCGACGTTGGCCACGCTGTCAGGTATATTTCCAGAACTAAGAGAGATATTTCTTGGATTTCCTGAAGCGCTAGGCTTAGCTGGTTCTTCTTCGACTTCTGGTATGGTTTCTGAAGATGTGAGTGATTTCTGATGAAGAAGAGAGGTGGATGAGGTGCGGCTAGCAGTGGAATCGTCCAAACTACGAACACTTTCTTCAGACGACTTGAAGGAATAATAACCAGTATCTCGGAAAGTATTTTTATTGGAAGCAATCTCTAAATCTGCAATATTACCAGTAGACTTTGTGCCAAAAACTTTTACAACAGTTTTACCGGTATTTTGATAGTTTGCTAATAAGAGGTTATTCTCACTGCAAGATTTTTCAGTAGAATTAATGGCTTTGGGGCAGGGTGTGGAGCCACGACTGTCGTCCTCTGGATCGTGAACTGCTCCTTCGTCATTTGCATCATCAAGTTCATTGTCTCGATTTTTTTTCTGCTCTTCTGCTAATGCAGTTGATTGTTCTAGCCATAAATGAAGAGAAGAACGACGGTCTGCTCTTTCTTTTCTGTATGCTGCCAATTTTTCTCGGCTTCGAGAGTTTTTTAAAATGTTTTCTCCACTCGTTGACTTCTGTAGGGTAGGAAATGCGTGACTACAGCCTGTGAGATCTTGATGTGACTGAGATAGATAACTTGTCATGCTGGATCCAGGGGAGTCTAAGCTATGAAGATCCGTTACATAATGAATTCCTGAGGGACTAGAGGCAAACATTTTTCCATGAATTAATGATGAATTGTCAATTACTGAAGGTTTCCAATTTAACACTTCTTTACCATGATATCCAGGGCTGGCACTGCGAAGAACTTCGCCCTTTTTAGCATGATGTTTTCTATACCTGTATCTCGAAAAAATTCCTTCACTTCCTATCCTTCCTTCGTCTTCTTCTTCTGCTATGTCATTTAATTCTTCGTTGCTGCTATGAGGCCAGATCCGTGATTTCTCGCGTGAAAGTACTTTTCCTGATGAAAGGCCTTCCATCTGAGAACCTGGAAGATTTGAGATACCACTAAAATTGTCAGTAATTTGGCTATCTGCAACAGTTTTACCATCAAGATTGTGATCTGAAGGTTTTCCATCTATATCATGTTCAGGATAATCAAAAATTCGTTCCTCGTTAGGTGACACTAAGGTGCACTCTGGGGTACTTAAGACGTCCATAGAATCGTCCACCAAGGTCAGTTCCGAGTCGTAAGCAGATAATCGTGAACCAGCCATTGGCTCTCCAAAAGCACCACTAGTAGCATCTAACAAAGCAAATAATTCGTCCATTTCATGTGATATCTCAGATTCTGTTGGGGTTCGATCAGAGTCATCATAGCTCGGAATACTAATACTAGCAGACATTGTTGCTTCAGAACCAGATTCAGATGGAGCTTTACTTTTAATAGAATTACTGCGACAAACAGAAGGTTTTGGAATTTCTAGCTCTGGACTTTCTTGAATGTCATTGATACACGGCATACAGGTTGAAGGGTGGTCGATCTGAAAACTGGCTGGAGTATTATGCCGTTCCCTCGCTGGGGAATTGTTTTGACTGGTAGTGACAGAATGCATTAAGGCTACAATTTGGTCTTTAATGTAGTCTCTCGCTCGAGTAAAGTCATCACTTCCTTCTGGTGTTGGCCTAGGAGTCATAGCTGATAGCTGAACACTTGGTTCTGCTAACTGCTTCAGAGAGCTCATTAGCTGCTTGCAAATATACATTGTTTCCTCAGATATTGTAGAATCCGAGCTATCACCACTGGCAGATGTTTGACTGCTTCGTCGGAGAGAAGCCCGCAGTGTCTTGATGTTAAACTCAGTGCCAGCACCTATGGAGAAATTTCCAACTTCTTCGTCATCAGTTGATGTGTATTCTCCAGATTCAAGGGTGTCACTACCATAGTCACTATTGTTACTTTCCAAAGTGCTACTGCAGCTGCTACTGAGATCCTCTGAAAGAGCAGTGGGTGACACAGTCTGCATAAGCCTTGCTATTTGCGACTCTAGAAGCGACTTCCATGGAGGTCGTACACCCCCTTCTTCACACTCCTGCATAGTAGATGTTTCAGAACCACTTTCTGAGAGATGTGCCATAAGTCTGTTCATGATGTAAGATGCCTCTTCATCTGAATATTCTTCGGGGATGTAACTACCTGCTGTGGACATTTCAGCAAACTGACTGTGTTCTCCTAGTCCCTGTTGATTTTGTTTAACTGGATAAGGAACATCTGTCTCTTTTGTTTCAAGAGAATCATCCATATTCTTCTTCTCATTATTATTTATTATATCACAGCTATTATCATCTATTTTTGAAGTTTTCGTAAAGAATTTGCTTTCTTGGTGAACTACACATCCATTATGTTCGTTATTCTGATTTTCTAAAGTATGTTCATGGTCAACAATATTCACAAACTTGTCTTGTTTATGAGCCGTTTTATTTTCCTTTTCATAAATTTGATCACAGGAATCAGTATATTCTTGTTTCTTTTCATTATCATCTCTTTCTAAGCCACACACTTGTTTTTTATAATCACAAGATTCATTACACTTTTTGGTGTCAACCTCAACAATCTTTTTATAATCAATATTTAATGGAAATGCACTGGTTTGTTCATCTTCGATGATTTGGCAGGTATTTTCTTTTGTCCCCAAAGAATCAGATGGTGATGCAATTGGTGCGATATCTCTGTGAATTGATTGAAATTCTGTACTATCGTGCTTCAAATGAATTTCCTGTTGTAATAGCAACCCTTCTAAGGATTCATTTTCCTGGTCATTAATTATTTCAACTTGGTCTGTAAACAAATTATTATTATGTGCTAACGGTGTTTGCACATGGTCATCATATAAAGGAATTTTCAAGTTCCATTCTGTCTGTCTGGTACATGATTGATCACTTTCTGAGTTGCAATTTGTATCATTTCTATAACTGCTCGTTGTAACTGTGTTAAGCCTGGAATATTTCAAAATGGATAGTTTATCCAGATCAGTTTCTAAAGTTGTTGTCTTTGTTCTATTTTCTATTGTAATGTATCCTTCTTCTTCTGTTTTATTTTCATAAATGTTGTTAGTATCACAACTATCTTTGTCTTTTTTTCTCTTAATTGTGTCAAATGTATTATCATCTTTGTCAAAAGCATTCTCCTCTACTTTTGAAATGCAAGATAAACTGGTGCATCCTTTAATTACGAGTTCTTCTATTGAGCTTGTGGTTAATAAATAGCTTTTATAAGTAGTTAAATCTTTGTCATCGTTGTTAATGCTATCATTTATATCACTAAACCCAGTGTTTTCTGGATAAGTAAGATTATCAGACCCAAGTAACCCTGAGGTAAAGTATTTCTCCAAACGAGAAGATGCCAGGACAGCAGCATCATCATCGTCCAAATTTTCCTCGGCTACTTCACTGTATATAGATCCTGATGTTTCAGATAAAGAATCACTGATTTCAGAACTTCCCTCGCTAATTTCCTCATAAGCTCTCTTATCTTCAACAACCCCACGAGCAATTGCTAAATTGAAATATTTATCCAGCTGTGAATCTGTGGAACTGATGGTTGGGGTGTTAGTTTGTGACCCTCTTTCACTCTCCTCACAACTTTCTTCCATGATAGTGTGCAGTGAATATGCTAAAGGGTTTCCATACATTGGTGTCAGATATCCCATAACTGGAGCTGAATAGGAAGCTTCATCTGACGAGTCACTTAAACTGTCATCTTCACTGGGAGATTCTCTGTTTTCCACACAGTCTTCATCAGAAGAAGAAAATTCCTCAACTTTTGCTTTATCATCCTCAAAGTTTTCCGATTCGTCTAATTCTTCAGCAATCACCATAAAGCTTAGGTTTTTAAATTCACATTTCTGTTCATTATTTCCAAATTCGGATTCTGCATGCGTATTTTCATTAATCTGTGTGATATTGTCGTCGGTTTTCTCTTCCTGTACACAAGTGTCTTCTGTAAATGCGCCAGCTTCCTTCTCGGTTACAGCAAATACAATAGGTTTCTCCAACTTTGAAGGCCCCATGGAATCTGTAGTCGAGTGACCTGGTTTATTTTCACAGTGGCTAACTAAAGCTGTTGCTTTACATGTGGAAGGTATACATCCTTTACTGGGCCAATAATCAACCAGTTCATACTCGGAGTTGTCGTTCCCTACAGAACGACTGTCCTGTGGCGCAGAGAATTGCAATGTTGTCGACAAAGCGTCACATATGGCATCGTCTCTAGAAATCAAATTCAAGCCGTCAGTTTCAGGAGGAAAAGTTTCTGCTGACCTCTCAGACGAAACTGCCAAAGTGGTTTGTCCGGGTGTTGCCTCCTTTCTTGCCTCACTAGCTAGTAGAACACACCCACTACCAACACCTACGCTTAACTCTTGGTTAGCACAAAGGAGTTTTTCCGTAACAGCCAAACTCCTTATACGTCTGTAACTCTCTCCGTCAATCACAGTGTCTTGAGAATCCGTGTCAGACTCAGCTTTGTCGGGTTCTTCGCCACTAGGAAAACGTTCTAACAGGTTCGACGGACGTTCTACCTGTACAACACGATGAACGTGAGTTTCACCTGCCAGCTCTGCACGGCTGCTATCATATACAGTGGTCTTTGTTTCTGTTGAGGCGTGTTCGCTGGCGACTAGAACGGCGCTCAAGTGTAGTTCCCGTGGCCCAACCGGCTGTGAGTAACCCCCGCATGGGCTGCTTCCGGCCTGTACGTGGTCACGGACCCGGCTGACATCATTGTTCTGGTCTAGTGGTGGAGCTGCGGTTCGGGGATTCCCAGCCTGCAGCTCTCTACTGCAACTTTCCCTCTCGTTGTGTTTGTCAGGTGGTATACGCTCCCCATTTGACTGTGTGCACTTCTTACAAACTTGGTCATCTGCTACAGCACGGCAGGTGGTGCTTGGCAAGTTGCCTATTAAATCATGGCCTCCTTTGCCAGTGAAACAATTGCATTGGTTGGGAGATACTTTATCAGAACATTGCTTGCTTTCTGACATGTAACGACTGGATTTAGTATTAACTGAACTAGATAAGTTCAACCTTTGCTCAGGATTTTCTGTTCTAAGTAATATCGATGTTTTTCCAGTTTTTTCTGAACGCATATGACGGTAATATGTTTCCTCCCACGCATCTGAATCAACTAACTGGGTTGTCTTTTCATTTTCTCCTGAGTTGCTTAAAATTTGTTTCCCGTCATTTATATTTAATAACGCCAGTGCTTTCAGATTTTCTTCTGAACAAGATGGTGCTAATAATTCTGAAGTATAGAATAACAATGTTCCCTCATTTCCTCTTACAAAAAATGGGGTCGACATTTCTCCCACATTAAATTCATCCTCTTTTACTTCGAAATTTAGCTGCACTGGGATATATTTATCGTTCTTCAATTCACGGGAATTTGCTGTCTCTTCTGTCATGTCTGAATCTGAAGCTTTTAACATGTCTTTATTACATACATTTAACAATACTGATGCTTTCTCCTTGTCACTAAACGATATATTTATTTCCTCATCGTTTTCCATAACTTTATCACGAAATGATTCATTAAATTCTACTCTTTTATCACTTTCTTTTTCATTCTTTAATTCAAGTACTGCTGACTTGTCGTCATCATTTTTTGACCTAAGAAGTATTGACGCTTTGTCTGTATAATCTGCAGATGATTCGCCACCTGACAAATTTAGCGGGTCCTCGATATTTTCTGAATTAGGCGCCGTTGGTTGTTCTTGAAGTTTTATTAATTCTTTTATATCTTCTGAATTAAATAGTTTCAACATTTTCGCACGAAGTTCTGAATTGAATAATGCTGATGGTTTCCTAGTGTTTTCTGGATTTACTAATGATGGTATTTCTGGTTCTTCTGTAAACTCATCCGACTCGTGTATAATTTGAGCTTGTACATTATCTTTTGAGCTACGTAAAACTGATACTTCTTTACAAAATCTTGAATCTGGTAACGTTGACGCTTCCTTAGAATCTTCTGTATTAGGTAATTTTGACATTTCTTTAGTCCCTTCTGAAACAGGTAATGTTGGTGATTCCTTAGTATTCTTTAAAGCAGATACTGTTGGCACTTCTTTGATATCTTCTGAATTAGTCAGTGATGATGCCTTTATGTTACTTAGTGAATCAAGAAACAATGATGGTTCTTTATAGGTTTTTAAATCAGCCAACTTTGATTTATCTTTAGCATCTTCTGAATCAAATAATACATCAGCATGTAAAGCTAGTAGGTCTTTAGTATCTTCTGAATCAAATAATACATCAGCATGTAAAGCTAGTAGGTCTTTAGTATCTTCTGAATCAGGCAATGTTGATTTTGTGTTATTACCTTCTGAAACAGGTATTGTTAGTGATTCTTTAGTACCTTTTAAATCATATGTTGATTTTTTCTTGTTTTCTTCTGAATCAAGCAATGTTGATGACTCCTTAGAACCTTCTAAGTCAGGCAGTGTTGATGTCTCTTTAGAATTTTCTAAATTAGGCAGTGTTAATGTCTCTTTAGAATCTTCTAAATCAGGCAGTGTTGATGTCTCTTTAGAACCTTCTGAATCAGGCAGTGTTGATGTCTCTTTAGAACCTTCTGAATCAGGCAGTGTTGATGTCTCTTTAGAACCTTCTGAATCAGGCAGTGTTGATGTCTCTTTAGAATCTTCTGAAATGAGTGATGTTGGTGGTTCATTAGAACCTTCTGAATCAGGCAATGATGATCTTTCTTTAGAATCTTCCGAAATGGGTAATGCTGACATTTCTTTATAACTTTCTGAGCCGTGCAATGTTGATGTCTCTCCAGAACCTTCTGAAACAAATGATGTTAGTGGTTCCTCAAAACCTTTTGAATCGGGCAATGTTGTCTTCTCTCTAGAATCTTCTGACACAGGTAGTATTGCTGGTTCCTTAGAATCTTCTGAACCATATAATGTAGGTTGCTCATAAGAACCTCCTGAATAAGACAAAGTTTCTTTTAAGTCTTTTGAATTAAGTAATGCTACTGACTCTTTACAGCTTCCTAAGTCAGATGATACTGGTGTTTCTTTAGAATCATCTGTATTACCTAATGTTGATTCTTCCTTAGTGCCATCTGAATCAGGTAATGCTGATGCTTCTTTAGCCATATCAAACTGTGCTTTTGTTTTCTTACTATCTTCTGAGTCTGTTACTGTTGGTGATTTTGTATTATCTTTTAAACTAATTATTGTTTGTTTTTTACTAGAATCTTCTAAATCAGGTGGTGCTGGTTCCTCTTTAGTGCCTTCTGAAACAAGTAAAGTTAATTCCTTTTTAGAATTTTCTGAATCATTTATGATTGTTGTTTCTTTGGTATCTTCTGAATGAGCTGCTGTTAGTGCTTCTTCACTATCTTCTAAACTAGTTATTATGTGTTTTTTATTAGAATCTTCTGAATCAAGTGTAGTAAATGCCTCTTTACTATCTTCTGAAACAGGTACAGTTAACACTGTTTTACAGTCTTCTGTATCTTTATTATCATATCCTGAATAAGATACTATTGATGTTTTGCTAGTATCTTCTTTATTTATATTTGATACATCTTTGATATTCTCTGAATTACATATACCTGGCATTTCTTTAGTGTCACCTGACTCAGTTACAATTGATGTTTTTTGAGTACCCTCTGAATCAAGTATAGCTTGCCTCTCTTTAGTATCTTCTGAATCAGGTACTTTTGTAACATCTTTAATATCTTGCAAATTAGGCACTGCTGGCATTTCCTTCAAATCTTGTGAATAACATAATTTTTGTACTTCTGTAATACCTTCTAAATTTGGTATACTTGAAGTTTCTTTAGCATTTTCTGATTCATGCAACATTAATTCTTCTTTACTATCTTCTGAATTATGCAATTTTTGTCCCTTTCCGATTCCATCTAAATCAGGTAATGTAAGCATTTTGTTGGTATCATCTTCATCATGTAATGTTTGTGCTTCTGAAGTATCTTCTGAATCAGGTAATCCTGGTGTTCTTTTGGTATTTTTTGGATTAAGTAATATTGGTACTTCTTTAATGTCTTCTGAATCCTGTATAGTTAGCAATTCTTTAATATATTTTAAATCATGTACTGTTGATGTTTCTTTAGTATTTTCTGTAACAGATATACTTGTTGCTTCTTTAGTATTTTCTGTAACAGATATACTTGTTGCTTCTTTAGTAACTTCATGATCAGATAATGTTAGTGTTCCTTTAGCTTCTTCATTAGGTAATATTAATGATTTGTCAGCATGATCTAGATCATCTATAGCTGTTGCTTCTTTAGTTTCTTCTTGATCAGGTAATATTAGTGATTTGGGATCACTTTTCATTGTTGCTTCTTTAGTAACTTCATGATCAGATAATGCTGGTGTTCCTTTAGTTTCTTCCTCCTCAGGTAATATTAATGATTTATCAGCATGATCTGGATCACCTATACCTGTTGCTTGTTTAGTTTTATCTTGATCAGGTAATATTAGTGATTTTGGATCATCTATAGTTGTTGCTTCTTTAGTAACTTCATGATCAGATAATGCTAGTGTTCCTTTAATTTCTTCTTCATTAGGTAATATTAATGATTTGTCAGCATGATCTGGATCACCTACAGCTGTTGCTTCTTTAGTTTCTTCTTGATCAGGTAATATTAGTGATTTTGGATCATCTATAGTTGTTGCTTCTTTAGTAACTTCATGATTAGATAATGCTGGTGTTCCTTTAGTTTCTTCTTGATCAGGTAATATTAGTGATTTTGGATCATCTATAGTTGTTGCTTCTTTAGTAACTTCATGATCAGATAATGCTAGTGTTCCTTTAATTTCTTCCTCCTCAGGTAATATTGATAATTTTTCAGCATGATCTTGATCACCTATAGCTGTTGCTTCTTTAGTTTCTTCTTGAACAGATAATGTTAGTGCTTTGTTAGTTTCTTTTTGATTAGGTAATATTAGTGATTGGTCAGCATTACCTGGATCACCTACAGCTGTTGCTTCTTTAGTTTCTTCTTGATCAGGTAATATTAGTGATTTTGGATCATCTATAGTTGTTGCTTCTTTAGTAACTTCATGATCAGATAATTTTGGTGCTCCTTTAGTTTCTTTTTCATCATGTAATATTAATGAGTTGTCGGCATGATTTTGATCACCTATAGCTCTTGCTTCTTTAGTTTCTTCTTGATCAGATAATGTTAGTGCTTTGTTAGTTTCTTTTTGATTAGGTAATATTAGTGATTGGTCAGCATTACCTGGATCACCTATAGTTGTTGTTTCTTCAGAACCTTCTGAATTGGTTATCGTTACTTCTTCAATTTCTTCTTGATCAGGTATTATTGGCAATTCATTAGTATGATCTGGATCATCTATTGTTGCTTCTTTAGTAACTTCCTGATCAGGCAATGTTTGTACTTCTTCAATTTCTTCTTGATTAGGTAATGTTGGTGATTTGACAGTATTATCTGGATCACCTATAGTTGTTGCTTCTTTAGTACCTTCTTGATCAGGCAATATTAGTGATTTGTCAGTATTATCTGGATCATCTATAGCTGTTGATTCTTCAAAACATTCTGAATTGAGTAATGCTGCTTCTTTAGTTTTTTCTTGATCATCTATAGCTTTTGCTTTTTTGTTATCTTTTGTGTCAGGAACTGTTGGTACTTCTTCAGTATCTTCTTGATCAGGTAATGTCAGTGCTTCTTTAGTTTCTTCTTGATCATCTATAGCTTTTGCTTCTTTGTTATCTTTTGTGTCAGGAACTGTTAGTACTTCTTCAGTATCTTCTTGATCAGGTAATGTCAGTGCTTCTTTAGTTTCTTCTTGATCATCTATAGCTTTTGCTTCTTTGTTATCTGCTGTGTCAGGTACTGTTGGTACTTCTTCAGTGTCTTCTTGATCAGGTAATGTTAGTGCTTCTTTAGTTTCTTCTTGATCAGGTAATGTTAGTGCTTCTTTAGTTTCTTCTTGATTATATAATATTAGTGATTTTTCACTATAATCTAAAACTACTATAGCTATTACTTCTTTGGTCTCTTCTGTATCAGCTTCTTTAGAACCTTTTGAATTGGATATTTTTTCTTCTTGATCAGGTAATATTAGTGATTTTTCATAATTATCTAGGTCATCTTTAGCTGTTGCTTCTTTAGAACCTTCTGAATCAGGTAATGTTGCTTCTTTAGTTTGTTCCTCACCAGGTAGTATTGGCAATTTGTCAGTATTATCTAGATAAGCTACAGTTGTTGCTTCTTTCAAGTCTTCTGAATCAGGTAATTTTGCTTTTTCAGTTACCTCTTGATCAGGTAATGTTGGTGCTTCTTTAATAACTTCCTGATCAGGTGATGTTGGTACTTCTTTAGTAACTTCTTGATCAGGTAATATTAGTGATTTGTCAGCATTATCTGAATCATGTATAGCTGCTGCTTTATTAGTAACCTTCTGATCAGGTGATGTTGGTACTTTAATAACTTCTTGATCTGATAATATTAATGATTTGCCAGTATTATCTGCATCATCTATACTTTTTGCTTCTTGAGAACCTTTTGAATCAGGTAATTTTACATCTTTAGTAACTTCTTGATCAAGTAACTTTTGTGGTTTCTCATTAGCATCTGGATCATCTATGGTTGTTGCTTCTTTGGTATCTTCTATATCAAGTAATATTGGTGCCTTAATACCTTCTTTATCAGTTAACATTAGGGATTTTTTATTATCACCTGATTCAATTATAACTGTTGCTTCTTTGGTCTCTTCTGTATCAGGCAATGCTGGGACTTTGTTAAAATTTTCAGAACCATGTATGCTTGCTACTTCTTTAGTATCTTCAATACCTTCTAAATTGGGTAATGTTGATTCTTCAGTAGTATCTTTTGTTTCATCTAATGTTAATGTTTCCTTAGTATCAGGTACTGGTTGTACTTCTCCGACATCTTCTACATCAGGTAATGTTAACACTTCCTTTGTATCTTTTGAATCAAGCATTATTTGCATTTCTTTAATGTTTTCTGAATCATGTGTAAATGGTTTTCCTGTAATATTATCTGATTCGGGTAATAAAAACACATGGTTAGCACCTTCTGAATCTGAATGAGCTTCTGCTTCTGTAATAAGTTCAGAACTGGGTAAAGCTACAATTTCTTTCATTGGTGTTTTTTCAGTGTCTCCTGAATTGGGTAATTTTGATGCTTCATTAATATTTTCTGAATATGGTGATGTTAAAATATTTTCTGGGCAGTTTATATTAACAGATAGTAGTGATGTTTTATCAGTGCCTGATACAGGTAAGGTTGGTATCAATTCTGTATCCTTCAATACAGTAGGTGACAGAGTTTCCTTAATACTTTCCCATTCAGATAATTTGCATGTTTTATTGCTGTCTTTTGTATCAGCTGGTTCTGGTGTTTCGTTACTATTTTCTAATTCAGGCATTTTCAGGTTTATATTTGTATCACAAGAACTCGGAACTTTCTCAGTATTATCCAGGAAAGGTAATACTGGTAATTTGTCTGATTCTCCACAATTATCTATCATTGGTGTTTCTTTATTACTCACTGAACCAGGAAATAAGGAGGTTATGCCTACATCATCCATAGTTGAGAGTAAAGGTGTTTTGTGGCCAAACTTTAAATCAAGGACTAATGATTGATTGAATTCTGTATTTGATCCTGGCAATACTCCACTATCATTGTCTGGTTCAGGTAATGCCTCTAAGTTGCATTTGTTTTCATTAGAGATATTTTGCAAAGTAAGCAAGTCATGGCTTTCATATAGCTGATCTTCATCTGCTCCACTTTGATTAAGATTGACCTGTTGCTTTTCTTCTCTATCTCTGTGACTACTCTTTGAAAGCATAAACTCATTGTGAAATGAACGGGTGTTCGTACTTTCACTGATTGCACTTTCCTGAAACACTACTGTATCTTCCCCATTTTTACTCTGTGTATCTTCTTCATACAAGTGAGAACTTTTTATTTCTTTGTTCTCTGGATTATTGTTACTCTCCTTTTCTGACACACAAAGGTCCTCACATTTATTATATTTGGAATTAAACTGTGGCCCTAAGTTTGCTTCATTAGCATCACTTTTATTATTGCATGCTACATTACCTACTTGATGCTCTCTTATACTGTCACTAGTTACATGATCTTGAACAAATAAAACGTTATCATAAGCCTGTTGACCATCTATACATTTGTGATGAGCACTTTCCTTCTGGCAAAGTTGTGTGTCCACTTCAGGTTCACTTGGGACAAGTTTTTCCATAAGTGACATGCTTTTAACTTGATTGTCATACACATCTCTAAATGTATCACTTTCTTGAGAGGATAATTTATTAATCTGCTGGCCCATTTTTTGCCCTCTAAGCCCACTTTCTTGAAAAATCTCTCTATTTTGTAGAGTATTTTCAATCAACTGATGGTTTTCTAGTCTTCTACTTACTTTATTGGTATTGTTAAACTCAGCATCAGTCATTATGTCTTTAAAACTTTCATTACAGACATTACTTTGACATTCAGTGTTACATGAAATGATGGCATTTATCTGTGGAAAAAGCATATGTTCATCGAACTTTTGTTTCTGTGTATTTTCCTTGTTTGATACTTTTGGATGAAATGACATATAATCAAGTTGGTGTACACTTTTTGTCTCATTAGATACATTAGAATGACAACATAAAACATCACCACAAACCTGTTTATCCACAGTGTGCACAGTAGTGCCACTTTGTTTAGGAAGCAACGGATTATAACAAAATTCACAGCTGTGCTTCTCTGAAGGAGGTAGCTTGCCATTCTCAATCCAGTATTGATTCATTCCATCAGCTGACACGTGTTCTTTATGACAGAGATTAGCTTCTTGTTGTGTGTTTATACTTTTTACAATTTCTTGAGAGTGTAAATTTTTATAACTAACCTGTTCTTGTGATAGTTCATTGGTGGCACTGAGTGGCAGGATTTGTTTCTGTATGCCTTCTTCAATAACGTCATTTACTTGCTCGTTATGATAATCGTCTTTAGTGAGATTCATTGCCGCATTACCATTTACTTCCTTTCCATTTTTATTGTACCCATGAAGATCTATTTCAGAAGATAATACTTTACCAGAATGTAATATGGGTTTACAGGTAAAACTATCTTGAGAAAAAGACACTTTTTCATTACACTTTTGTGATCCTGTAAGTTCACTGGCACTGTTTTGTTGGGTAAACTGTACATTATAATCTGTTTGCAGCATATTTTTGTTCTCATCACAAGCCAAAACACTATGTAAAATTAGTTGTTCCCGCGCAGAAGCAAGTTGTTCCATCACTGTGCTCTCGTTTGAAATAGTTTCTTCATGAATTGAAAGCAAAGAAATATCCTGTACCTCATCTGTCACACAATCTCTTGGTTGAAGAGATAACAACGCATCTTCATCTTTTGAAGAGCTCCATTCCTCATTTTCCTTTGTATTGTAGTGATCACTTAACGCAAATTTTCTAATAACTTCGATTTGCTTAGTTAAGCCTATATTCTGAAGGTTTCGCTGTACACGTAAACTTCTCATACAAGCTGGCTGATCACGTGATAACTCGGGCGAAGGTAAGGGAAAAAGCCACGAGTCTTGGCTTTTGCCCGCAGAACTGTTACGGTTGTATACCCCTTCTTCGGACTGTGAAGTCAAACTTCGTTTCACTCGAGCAGCCCGATCAGGTTTCTTATCCTTCTCACTGTGGTTCTCGTAAGTGTTGTCGTAAGAGTTGGTCCACTCACAAGGTGAGGTAGAGAAGGTTACATCAGGCAGGTGTTGCTCACTTATTACACTGGTTTCAAATAACGCTGACTTGGCGCCAGTTGAACAGCCATGTTGTTGAGCAATGTTGTTATGTCTGGAAGGTAGAAGGTCCACTGCAGAGTTTAAAGGTGATTCAAATTCTTTAACAGAATTATCGCGAGGTATTTCTGCAACTTTAACAGTCACTTTAAAGTCTGAAGTGATGGAAACTTCACTTTCATCTAGAGTTTGAGACTTTATAGCTCGTGATTCTTGTAGAAACGAACAATCTGAAGCAGTTTCTACCCCGGGAGGTTCGGGAGAAAGCCACGTGTGGCTGTTGCAACAAAATTCTTCCAAATTTCGATTGCCTATGAAACTAGAATCAGAAGAACTTTCTCTTTTGTTATGATTCTGGCAGTTTTCACCTTCACAGCTAATTTCCTCAAGAATCCTGGTTGGACTACTCTGTTCTCCGGCAGGATCAAGATCGTCCAAAAAAAATATCTCTGAAGACAAAGAGTCAGCTGCACTATGAGCGGATGATATGCGTTTGGTATAATCAGAATCTGAAAAAAATTCCCAGTCTGAATCTTCAATATATACTGCCCCATTTGAGATTTCCATATGTGACCTGACCCGCATGATTCGTCCACAGCCGATTTCATCGTCCGAACTGCTAGCTACAGAGTCTAGGTCAGAACTCTGAGATGAGCAAGAGCTGCTGATGAACACCAACTTGTAGTCATCCCCTTCCGGTATTATCTTGTCAACATCTAGATCAGGCTCACTTTGTGACTCAAGTAAAGCAGCAGCTAGTGCCATGTCCTCTTCAAGGCGCCACATCTGGCCTTCCATTGAACAGGGACTCCAGCTTCCCGACCAGCTACTGATTCCTTGTCTGGTTGGCAGCGAAGCACTTCTGGCTCTAAACAATGTAATGGGCTCCTCACAACAGAAGGTGGAAATAGCTGGTACCTTGGTGAGAGTGCTCCTGTTGTTATCGAATTCTGGACTTTGTCGGGACTGCATACGGAGTCGTAGTCGTCTTGAATTTCGATCAAATTGCTTAACACGCTGGAGAGACGGAGAAGCTGTAGGCGTGCTGGATACACTATCTCTTCTAATGGTTTGTTGTTCTTCCATCGCTAGATGTTCAATTTCTTGATCTACACCATCACTGTGAACAGTTAACTGAGAGCGGCAGTTACTGGGTAAGGGAAACAGAGAAGAAGACCCTACCTCTACAGAAGTCAAGAATGGTTTAGTTTGGTTGTCAGCAATGACCCTCATGCTTGGCCAGTTAAATGTCTGACTGTTAGACCCAAAAGTATCAAAAACTGAGGTGGGAACACGAACCCGCATGCACCCTTCAGAAAACGAGGAACTTTGAATGTTATCGCTAAGATTTCCCGGAAATGTAGAGTTCTGCATAAATTTCAACTGGTTATCTGAGATCTGCATGCTTCTAGCATTATTATTCGAGTTAGAAAGTAAAGTTGTTAGTTCATCTAATGAGCAATTTAACCGACCCCTGGTGTTAGTATGTGGAGTTATGTCTCCCTGCAAGTTTACAAGCTCAACACCAGAATTATAGGGTATTGGCTTAATATTAAGGGTTAATTTGGAATGGTTATTAGGGTTAGTACGTGAGATTAAATAGTCCAACTGTGATGGTGTGCCCTTTACAGCTGTAAAGATGAGAATATTCCCGATATGAGCCTTGCAACAACAACAAAATAAATTTCCATAGTTCATAATATAGTGTTTTACCACAAAATGTAATTGTGGGGACACATGTTAAAAATCTGAATAGTAATACGATTTAACACAACATAGAAAAGAGAAAGATGTAGAAAATTAAACTGTGAATACATAAACATCATTTTCTCATAAATAAAGCATAATATTCAGCTGCTACATGCATGCAAGTTTTCCAACTGTTTACATTCGTTTATAAGCATTTTGTGGTTTATATATTTTGTTTCACTTTTATTGTTGACTTTACTGTGTTAAAGCAGTCTTCAGTGTAATTTAGTTAATAGTCATTGAAAAATGTTCACTCACCATTTGGATATTTTTCAATTAGTTCTTCTGATGACCTTTTCTTCTTTAAATTAACTTTTCTAAAGATTACTCCAGTGGTCTTCTCAACTTCAGACTCACTCAGGCTCGATGCAGATGGACTCGGAAGTCCCTGATCTATGCTAGATTCCCCAGCCAGATCACTGCTCTGCCTGGAATGATCACTGGAAAAAGTGCGAGGAGACACTGGGCAGCTAAGGTCAGTCACTCCAGAGTCGTGGGTGCTACCTAACAACGTGAACTTGCTATCTTGTTTCGGTACTGCAGGGTCAACCACGTCGATAGAGGAAGTCTCATGGGTCTCTAGGGGCTCCACGACTGCTTGCTGTTTACGTAAAGGACTTAGCCTTTTCCTAGGAGTGGGGACAGGAGCTGCCTGATCTTCGCTGCTAGTAGACTGTGATCTATGTTTTACAGGACTTCCCTCCGCCGAAAGTCTACTCTCTCTAGGAGACGGAGACGTGTCCCCTCGAACTGATATCACAGAACCTTGGGGTCCTCGCTTGCCGCCCAGAGGGGAAGTACGAGGTACATTAGGTCTAATTGGCACATCCTCTCGACTACCTTCCTGATCTTCCTCTACAGACGACGAGGAAGAAGATTTTCTCCTTCTTGAAACTTTTTTCAACACAGTTCTATCCATGTTAGTCGGGGGTGGGTAAACGAAATGTCGACTATCGTCTGTACATTTGGCAACAGGTACCTCACCTTTAGGAATTGCTCCTAATTCTGAAGAATTTCTCGTTGAAGAGTTTTTTTCGGGAGTTAAAGAGTTAGTCTTATAATCAAATGTCCGTGGCGGTTTTTTAGGGACTGACGAGACACTGGTGAAGGATGCAGTTGACGTACTTGCTTGTTCTCCAGTTTCGTTAGTCACATGCTTGTCACTGAAGGCCACACCTGTTATTGATGTAAAATAGCTTTGTTGTACTTGACTTGAAATATTACAACAATGTGCAACAACAATGCTTTGAACAAACTTCCAAGAAAACGACGAAATCAAAGTAGGATTGAAGAAATCGGGTAAAGGGGAGGATGGGGATACCTGCCTGTAGGACTAAAAATAAATGCTACATATACATTTAAAAAAATATAGATTTTATATGCATCGCCCCCACATAAAATTTTTATTAGTGGTGTAATCCATTAACAGCACTAAGAACGTACAAAGTCAAAGATAGCATATAAAACTTAGTTCATCCTTTTACTCCATCAATTCAAGCTATATGTGAACGATGACTTTCCTTAGTAAAATCATTTGAACATACCTATTCAAGGCTAAATTTTAAATTGCCAGAGCCTCGTCAAAATTTGACAGAAGTGACGTCACCATGAGATTAAAGATCTAATATTCAAAGCTTGATTTCCATTTTTTGTGAATCCATTTTACATAAATAAAATATATGCAGCACTAATTATTTGGGACTTCGTATATTAGTACTAAATTGAAAATACATATTATATAGAGAAAACACGAAACGCAAGTTCCTTTAAACTAAGCATTAAGGGGAAAAACAAATAAATATCCGACACAATTCAAAAATCACTAAAATTGAAATAAATTTTATAAAAGCACAGCTTAGCAATTTGCTAGATTTCTAAGTGCACTACACAACAGTATTAACGACTTTGACCTTAGTAATGAGATATTTTTTATTTATAAATTGAGGACTTTCCAGAATTCAGTAAGCATTACATACGTAACAACGATTCCCTTATTATTATCGAAAACAAAATTTGAAGGAAAATAAAAGTTTCCTACAAATTTACATAAACTGAGCTTGGCACAGAAAAGTTTAATAGAACTGTGCGTTCGTTTGTTAGAAACTACGTGCATTAAGAATAAATCTCCGATAAAAAAAAATAACAACAAAAAAAACGCGAACTTCACTGATATGTAATTACAACTATGTTTCATTAGCAGCTTCCTCGTCTTGTGACGCTGAGGAATCTGGTGTTACGTCATTAACAGCCTTTAGGAAATTGTTATATCCTCTAAAACCGTTTTAATAATTTAATCTTATGTTATATAATTTCTCGATCACTTTGTTGTTGTTGTTGGTTCATAAGCCTAAATTTAGTGAGTTTAGTTTGGTTTGAATTGCGCACAAAGCTACACACAAGGTGTACCTGCGCATGTCATCCATAATTTTGAACTGATAAACTAGAGGGAAGGTAGCTAATCATTAATACCCATCGTTTCTGTTCGTTTGTAATTAAGCACAGAGCTACACAATGGGCTATCTATGCTCTGCCCACCACGGGTATCGAAACCCAGATTCTAGCGTTGTAAGTCTGCAGACATACCACTGGGGGGGGGGCAACGTTTCTGGAACACCGTAATAAACTAGAGAGATTTTACCGTCACTCATCACACACTAATGGCCCTGCGGAGCACGATTTTGTGATAACGGAGACCCATGGGCTCGGGATCCAAAACAATAAAAAATATAAAAAGACAGTACAATAAGAATTCTCCTGATACTGTTGCTTTGTGTATGTTTTATTTTCTATTTTGAATATTAAAATATATGGCGTTGGCATCTCTGTAACTACAGTAATTTTAGCTAATAATTATGTAGTTTCTAACAAAACCGTAGGACAAACCATGCGATCACGTCTTATTTTACGAATTTCGATTGTTAGTATGAAACAAAACTTATAACTTAATCGATTGTTCATAACTTTAGAGAAGTTTATATCAAAATGGAATAACAATGAAAACTATAACTCTACAGTCACCTCGGTCCAAGGAGTTTACGTACTTAAATTATATCAATATTGAACATCATGTAATTCTATCACAACGTGTATACAGTAAAGCCATTAAAGATTACACGAAATTAAATATTTAGGCTTAAACAAACTTATTATGTCTTTTTTCCCCCTCGGGTTGTTATGAATTTTTATCTATAGCTTTAACATGTTTCACTTATACCAGAAGTTTTTGTTTTGTGTGTTTTTGCGCAAGTCTATACAACATGCTATCTGGGCTCTATCTCCCACGGGGAATCGAACACCGGATCTTAGAGTTTTAAGTCCGTAAACTTACAGTTGACTCACTGGGGGCCACAGACGTTTTTTACAGAATTACTTTAGAATCATAATGACATCTAACAAGTATATCTATACTGTGCAAACTAAACACTTCTGTTTGTCGCTTTACAAATACGGGTTCGGGTCCCACACTGTTCTAATGGCTACAAAACTAATTTTACATCAATTAGTTCATTATTATAATGAAAATTTTGAAACAACAGCTACACACGATATTACAAGCTGGTTTATTCCTTACCTTCACAAAATTCCAGATAGTTGTCTATATCAGAGTAAACAACAGCAGAAAGAGTAAGTGGAACTATTTATTTATTTATTTTGAGAGTTGGCAGAAAGAAAATTAAAATTTTCCAGAACGTTCACACTATCCGTCGATATTTTGTATCCGGTACTTTACTTTGTATATGTAACCGAAATCCGCTGCTAATTAATTAGTGTGTGCTAGGACGTGCACTGGTAATCTCCACCAGATACATTTTGCTTTATGGTTGATTTGAATAACAATCGATAAAGACTTGTTGACGTATAATAATAGGTTAACACTTTTTCTTTTTTTTTATTCAGAGATGTTTCAACATTCGCTCCTAGCAGATTGTACGCAAATTTGGAGTAAGATTTTCGTCTGCAAGATTGCGTCCGTTGGGTTAGGGTTAGCTCTACGTGATATTATAAATGCATTTAGTTTTACTTCCCATTCGCTGTATGAAATATAAATCAATCTCCCAATCTTTGAAATATATATATATATATATATATATATATATATATA